ATTGGGATTTCCAGCTGGCGCTCGAGCAGTTTCTGCGCATGGAGACGGCCAACGAGCTGCCGGACGACGCATTTCTCTAAGCCAAAGTCTTTTTTTATCAGGCAGCACAAATGACGCAGGCGAGCATCAAGTGCTTGCCCTTATAAATTAAACGACACTCGATTATGTCAATAACTAACTAAACGAGCCAAAATGATATCAACAATTACGCAGGCGAACATTTCTTTGTTTGTGATTTCCCTGAGTGCCTGCCAAATCGATAGTTGTTGCTCATTTTTTTTTTTTATAACTGTAACCAAAATAATCTCTGTGATTAACTACTGTAAGGCTAGACTGAAATCTCAGCTCACACATTTTTATTTCCATTGTTCGCTTATCAGCTTAACATTCTAACTAATTTATATACATATATATTTATAGCACTAGTTGCAGCATTATCATTGCCAAGACGCACTCCAGCAGGCATTTAGGATCTAGGCATGTCGTGACATGTCCCTGTCAAAGTGCTTATCAGACAACCTGCTGCAGCAGCAGACAGAGAGAGAGAGAGAGAGAGAGCACGACGTCGCCCTTGCTATAAACGTTCGTGCGCTGCGCTCGTCACCTCAGTTTCGTTTTGAACGCGTTCGCGTGCAGTTCTGTCAACTCGTTGCCCGTTTGCCGTCGCCCGTTTGCCGTTTACCGTTTGTGCGAAACGGTTAAGAAATCCGTTAAACCGTGCAAGCGCTTCTCTCGACTGCAGGTCTGTGTGTGCTTTTTCTCTCTCCCTCTCTCTCTCTTAGCGTCGTTTTTGTGTCGTATTTCTAAAATACAATAATTTTAAATTGCCTAACGTTTTGTGTTAATATGCACTTAAAAATGCATTGCAGCTACAGCTCAATTAAATACCACATTTATTTATATATAGTACACATTGTCTTTATCTGACTGTTCCCCAAGTGTAAATGTAATTAAGATGAGAAGAAAAAAGAAAAGAAAACAAAACAACTTTTGTTGATTTTTGAACAAAATTGCTGTGAAAAACCTGTTTGGCTTGTCGTTCATAAATAAACGTCTAATAAAAGTTATATAATTGATCTCCTATTGACACGACACAAGTTAACACGAATAACAACATTTCGAATGACAACATTTCGAATAACAACATTTCGAATGACAACTTTTTTTTTTCTGATGAGCTCAACAAAATGCTTGTCCGAATTCCCGGTTAATTTTATTTTGAGCCAGCTTTTTGCATATGAATGAAAACAGCTGAAATTTAATCGGTTTGGGAACATTTTGTTTCGTGTTTTTTGTTTTCACAGCGTGTGACTCTTTCTGTACCCTTATTTAGGGTATCTTAACTATGTCATGACGTGTGTAACGCTTTTTGTATAAAAACAATCGGAAGAATGTATTGTCACTTACCTTCCCTCTTATACCCCTCACATCCCGCTGACTATGTCAAGTTTTCTAGGCAATCGCTCATGCGCATAAATGCGCGCGTTTTGCGTGCGTTTAAAAACGCGCACAATCAAAATAATTAGCTGGCACTCATATAAATTAACAAATTCACAAAAAAGCAATGTGGAACACTTAAATATTTGCTTGTACATGGACTTCGATAAGAGTAGAGTAAATAAATCGCGTTAACAAAATTATGTTTGCCTCCTCTCGGGAACAGATTTATGACTTGACCTTAACCCAAAGATTTAAATAGGCTGCCACAACTAATTAAACAGCCCCAGTTGACATTGTGATTACCTATTAGAATGGTAATAAAATAATCTTGGATTAATGGATTGCTGACTCTAAAACTGTAATTCCAAAGACTTTCAAACTGTGTCTAAAAGAAAAGTTAGATCTTTAGGGCATATCTTCATTAATTTTTCTGCCTAATTTTGTGACTGTGTGAGATATTTATTTTCTGTTTTTTTTGATCACGCCTTCAAAAGTAAATAGATGTTGAGAGGAATGCACTGTAGTTACCCTTAAAACTGTAGAATATATATAATTTGAATTTTTAAAAGTTTGAATTAGCGTTTGATGTCAAACATTTGGTTCTGTGCTTTTTAATGGGAATTACTTTTCGAAATATTCAAATATCAACATTCTACATAAAACACAAGCCCAGACGTGCCCAAATAGAAGAGCCTCTTTCCCCCTCCCCCTTTCCCCACTCTGCTCCTCCCCTTCGTATTTTATTTATAGGCTTTCCACGCAATCGACTTTTGTTTTGGCACAAGTGAATTTTTTCAAGTTTTAGTCATAATACCGAACGAATTCCGTTGTGTCTAAGAGAACTTTTCGAGAATTCCAAGCGGCATCCAAAATGTTTGTGTGGAAATGTGCTTACCCTTCCCCCTCCCTTGGCTATCTAAGTATACCCCTAAGGTCAACACACATAATTCTAAGTGGAGGGAGAGGTCTTTCACTTCTATTGGCTGCGTATCAGTATTTATACATGGAGCTCTACAAGTGATAAATTAAATGTCTAATGCCACCGAAGACCGAAGACCGAAGATCAAACTGATCATTTGGGAAATGTCTGACATTTATGCGCCAGCTCTGTAATTTCAAATGCGCCAGACGCAATTCTCAATTACAATGGGTATCCCAAAGGGTCTTTCTATGTGTCTTGCATATTAACTAGGGACAATCATCAAATTCTCAGCTGCGTCTAGACATGATTTTGGGTACTGAGGAAAGACTCTTCCGGCCGGGTATATCATATATTATATAATTCCTGACTGTATATATGCATGTCTATATCTAAAAGTGTTTACAAGCGATTTTATCTTGTGCATCATTTATGCTAATTGGGCTCTTAAAAGTCGCTGCCAGTAGCCTCTAAATTTTGCATATTTCCGCTAATTAATACACTCAGCGAAAAGGGGGTAGTTCTAAATTCTTTAGGAAAATTCCTTCGACTATCTGCTTTGAATTTCAAGTAGATTTCGTGCTAAAATTAATTACGAGGAAGACAACAAATCAATGACGTAATTTAATCAAGTGGAAGCCGTCAAAAAAATATTTCAGATCTGATAATACTTGATTTATATATGAAGCAGTAAAACACTGAAAACTAACATTTTTTTTGATTAGATCAAAATGCTTGAAATCAAAACAAAACTTTTCTTGGAAATTTGCTGCTTGAAAAAGATTTTCATACTGAAATGTTGTTCTTACTTTAAGAATTTTTAACTTAATTTAAATTTTGCAAAAATTCTATGCTTTTTTCTTCGAGTGTATTTGATTGCACTGCTATCAAGTTGCTCTAACTAAAGCTATTGCCAGCCAAGTGTCAAATTTGACAAGCAGTTGCGAATTACAGGGCGATTATTGTGCACTTGGCGTTTTAAGCCGCGCACGAAACGCGCGCGAAACGCGAGACACTTGCGTGCCTATCAATCCGCACTGCAAATACTTCCAACACTTATCTTCAAGTGCTTTGCAGTGTTGCGCAATCTTTCAAAGCTGCAGAGCACAGTTCAACGATCTCTCTGCCCGGAGCATATTTCTGGGGCAGGGTCACAAATCAATTAGGTTTCATAATTTGGGCACGAATCTTTTTTGTTTTTTTTGCTGGGCTTATTTATTTCGGACCATTCTGATGTATGGAAAATGCAAAAAGATCTGTATTTGATTTATGTTCCGCTTGGCAAGACTCATACAGGGCAGGAAAAACGGCACGAGGGCATTTTTGCAAAATTGTTGCAAACACATTTTCAGCGGAAAATCAGCGAAAAATTATTAAATGTCACGTTCGCATTCAAGAAAACACATTGCAAACATGATATAGATTAGAATTGGGTTGTATATATAAATATAAAAATGTGTAGAAAAAAATATATATATTAAATAATAAATAATCTTGAATTTATATAAATTAATTGATTTTGAAGACATTGAAGAAATTTTTATAATGCTGAAGAATGATATTTTCTTTATTTAAAGATCTTTTTGAAGATCTGTATAGAAATCGTTTTTGGGTTTTTTAAAAGAAAAACATGGAAAATTCGACTCATACGAAAGCCAAAAATCATATATTCCAAGTTTGCCCAGTTAAGGCTCAACTAGAGATTAGTTCCCCAACACTTCCTATCAGGGATATATGATATATTCCCTTCGGCTTCGAAGAGATCTCCTACAATGCATTGTGCATATTTGTTTAAGCTTTTCCATGAAAGTCACAAGTAGAGACTAGTTCACAATCGCTCTTATCAGGAATATATATAACTCTTGGCCTCGAAGATGTCTTCCACAATATGCACTGTGTATAGTCTGATATACCCTCAGTAAGAGTATAGAAAATGTGCAATAAAACAATTCCAATGGATATTTTAAAACATATAAAAGCGATTTATAGCAGTGACAAATTGTGGAGAGAAGGGGCTGGCCAGGGGCAGGTGTATGTGGTTTAGATTGTTAACTATAGCTATAAACAGATACACACCCACTCACACTCACACACACACACACACACACACACATATATATGGATCTCAAAGTGAGCTAAGCGAATGCGCTGCAGTCAATTTGGAATTTTAATTTCGCATTGAGAAAACAAAGGCGACGCATTCAATTGCATGAGAAAACCGATTAAACGATGGGACCTTGAGGGGGGTTTGAGATGGGGAGGGTTAGGATTGCGAATATTACATTGGCAATTAGACATTAGTTCCTTGATGACACCCGCCCCCTCCTCAACCCTCCCTTCTTCATCTGTGCATCCAATGGATGCGACGCTCTTGAAACTAACCAAATTGCGTGGATCTCACTTGTGAAAGATTCTATTCAAAGATCTCGGAAGCAGCTGGCCTTGAGAATGGGGAAATTGTTTTGGTTAAGCAGCCGCCTGTTGTGTTTAATTGAAAATTGAAAATCGCCGCAGTTAATTGCGGCTGCCAGCGCAGCACTTAGTTTACATCGCCCCCGCTGCTGCTGCCCCCACTGTGGTCCACGCTGCTGCCCCCGCTGCAGACCCTGCTCTGACGTCATGAATGTAGCACGTTGCACAATTGACATATATCTGCTTTTATTATGCTATTACATCTACGACCTCTAAGATATTCTACTAAAAGTTGTCTATTATCTATTTTTGGCTGCCGTATTTGTTTTTGTTTTTCCTCAACTTTTGTATATTTTGATTGGCATCGATCTATTTACTTTTGCATTGTGCAACCAAAATGCATATTTCCCATCGCCACAGAATCAGAAATGGCATATGAAATGTGTTTTTAATTTTATGCTAGTTGAAAGACCTTTACCAAAATGTATTAAAAACAATATGAAAATAGTGTGGATAATATGGCACAGCTTCGGTAGACTCTAAGAATACATTTATGCATTTTAGTTGAGTTTTTCTTGCAGGGTATTCAGCTATTTGGTTTCAGGCTTTGGATACTTTGTGTTATAGAGCGGGATATAGTTCGTGATCAGACGCCAGTCTGTGAAGTAGATCAGAGCCAAAACTCCAGCCATGCCAAAACAGCCAGCTGAGGGTATGCTGTGGGCGTGGCAAAAGACCTCAAACTATATTAATCAATTTCTGACAATTTGCTTGAGCTACTCACAAGGCCTTGGCCATCTCCTGCTGGCTCTTGGTCGGCTTGATCGAGCATAAGAATTTCTTGACATGATCCATGGCTCGAGTCTAGAATAATAAATGATAATTCGTAGGCCGACAGAAATTCCGAGTTGAATAGACTGTAAAACAGTTTGTCAAAGTAAACGCCTGCTGAGCAAACAAATTTTTAATTTAAGTTTGCATACCCTGTACACATTGAAAATGGGTATTATGGTTGTATGCAATAAATTAATTTTATATTTTTTATGCATAATTTAAATAATTATCAGGTATGTATGATCGGATGAAAAGGATGAGTCGATTTAGCCATGTCCATTTGTCCGTCCAATTTAATGTCGAAATCTTCAAACCAAAACCTTAGCATTATTATATCCAACATATTTTTTTCGCTATCTTCTTCGTCTTCTGCTATAGATTTTTGTAGATATATTTAAAAGGAACTTTGAATGTCTGCAACCGTAGCTTGGTGCCGATATTAAGGTAACTTCTAGTCGGGCATACCAGACTAGAACCTTTCACGTGTTTCCTCCAAGTCTGTCAATTAACTCAGCCATTGTGTCACCATCAAGCGAGCAGTCTATGAGAGAGGGGCTCAGAGGGGGATTCCATATTGAGAATAAATCAATTTGGATGCGGGTTAGCTAGGCCCCCGTCAAATGGGTCGTGTAAACAGAGCTACAAATTGAAACATTACATTGCCTTTTTTATGACAAAACCAACTTGACCCATGCCGGAGCTGGGCTGGGGTGGGGTGGTGGCAGTTATGATGACTAAGGGCAGGTGGCAATAGAAAACTGCACCAATTTGTCAGTCGCAAAATCATTAGCCTAATTTCCAGGTGTTTGTATCTGCGTGTGTGTGTGTGTGTGTGTGCGTGTGTGAGCTGGCATTTTCTTTAGCTAAAATTCCATTGGAATCTCTCGCAACTGGCCAACATCGTGGGCCCTGCCCATATTGTCTTGACTCAACTCCTTGGCAGAACAATTTAAATGCCACACCTTATGACCTGCCCCCATCTAAACCCCCTTCAGCTGTCCACATATGATACCTGGGCGACAGTTCAAGGATATCGACAAAAGGCTGGGCAACTTGAATTTCATGAGCTTTATTCCTATTCTTTTATTCCCAATTGCAGTCATGCGTCTGCTGCTGTTGCTGTTGATGGCCCTTCTGGCCGTGGTTCGTGCCCAGCAGGACTATTGCTTCGGCAAGGACACGGAGCGACTGCAGACGCGTCAGTTTAGCTCGAAGACAGCCTATCAGATTGTCAAGGGCACCAACATGGACAAGCAGTATCAGGTGCCCGGCTGTGAGCCCAAGAAAATGTGGATCTTCCACAGGCACGGCACACGGCTGCCCACGCCAAGCACCATTGAGGCGGCACCGCGCCTGGAAGAGGTAGGTTAACCCCTAGGTTAACCCCTGCTCCAACACCTGTTTTATGTACTCCTCCTGGTGATCTTTGCAGATACGTGATTTGATAGTGGATAATTATCGAGTGCGACGCACCAAGCCCGAGACTGATGCCCTGTGCGATACGGATCTGACCGCCATCCAGATGTGGAAATGGAATACCAGCATCACAGTGGACATTGAGGAGTATCTGACCAGCCAGGGCTATGAGGATCTGCGCGGCACTGCCAAGCTCTATCAGCACTACTTTCCCACGGTGCTGCCCACCACATTCAACGATACCTACTACCTGGTAAGAACTGCTACCTGCGTTCATTTTGGAATATTGATAGTGTAGTCCTTGCAGTTCCTCCTAAAGCTTTTCTCCCTGCTTTCAGTTCCGTCACACGGACACACAGCGTACCACGGAGAGCTTCAAGGGCTTTGCCGAGGGTCTCTTTGGTGACAGCAATGTGGCTACTGCCGCGGATATACCCGAAAAGGATCTGCTGCTGCGTCCCTATGACTATTGCACGGACTTTAAGGACAAGAACTACAAGGGCGTGGGCTCCGAGTATCAGAAATATCGCACAACCGCCATATGGAATAATACTGTCGCGGATATTACACGTCGACTTGGGTAAGTGTCCAGTTGGTAGCAGCTGCTGTTATCCAAGACGAGACTAACCTTTCCGTTCCGATAGCTTCACGGTTTTGGCCGAGGATGATATCAAGCTGATGTACGACATGTGCCGCTACGAGCAGGCCTGGCAGGTGGATCGGACGAGCGTCTGGTGCGGCGCCTTCTTGCCCGAGCATGTGACCGTCATGGAATACGCCGAGGATCTCAAATACTACTACGGCTCCGGCTATGGCTTTGAGGAGAATACACGCTTCAATTGCCGCGCCGTCCAGGACATGCTCTCCCGCCTGAGCAGTCCCGTCTCGCCCCATGTGGTGGCCTATTTCGCCCACTCGACGGGTCTGCAGACGCTGCTCACCGCGCTGGGCATCAACAAGGATGACATCCCACTGCGTGCGGATAACTATGACTCGATGACAAGTCGTCGCTGGAAGACCAGTCTGCTGGGTCCCTTTGCGGGCAATTTCGTGGCCGTGAAATACGATTGCCCGGCGGAGCTGGAGAAGGAGAAGGTCGTCTTCTTCCTCAACCAGAATGCCGTGGACCTAGACTGGTGCAATGTGGGTCTCTGCAACTGGTCGGATGTGCTGGAGAAGTACAAAACCATCTCGGAGGCCAACTGTGATGAGTATTATTGCCGCTCTGGAGCGCCCGGAGGACGTGCCTCAATGCTGGTCACCGCATTTATTGCTGCATTTGTCTACTTGATGCATTAGACCTGACATAGATTTGACTTAAATAGCGCAGGGATCTGGTTTAGTTTCTAATTAGGCTATGTGCAAAGTTCGTACCAAAAAAATAAACTAAATGAGCAACAGAAGTGATTCACCTATTTTCCACTAAATGTACATTTTCTACTCTTATGGCTTTTTCCAATTAATTATTAAGCTCTGCTTGTGATAAATGAATAGTTAGATACGAATAAATAAATTTAAATTTTCAAAATACTTAAAACAGCTTCATATTATATGATATATGCAGCTTCCATAGGAACGATCGCTTAGAAATTGAGCTCTTGCACTGAATACACCTATTTTGCGCAATCGCACGGATCACCCTATTCTATCATACGAGGATGTAAGGATTGCAAAGAAAAAACGAAAATTGCGAGCATTGTGGATCGTATAAGCGGGCAACTAATTAACATCAACATCACGTTTGAGAGAGATTAGATCTCTCTCCGTTGTTTCGGTCACTCTCTCGCCGTTTCTCTCTCTCGCTCTCTCTCTCTCTCTGGTCACACTGCTTGCTGCGACGCCCTTGCTATAAACGTTCGTGTGCTGCGCTCGTTGCCTCAGTTTCGTTTTAGACGCGTTCGCGTGCGGTTCTGTCAGCTCGTCACCCGTTTGTCGTTTACCGTTTGTCGTTTGCCGTTTACCGTTTGTGCGAATCGGTTAAGAAATTTATTAAGCCCAACGTGCGCATCTCTCGAGTGCATTTCAAATATTCAAATAGGTCTGTGTGTGGGTTTTTCTCTCTCGTTTATAAAATCTTTTCATCTACCGCTCAGCGTTCGCTGCAGCCTCAACTTAATTGGACAAACAATTTTCGTAACTAGCATTTGTTTCATTGTCTTTACAATGTCTGGCTGTACCTGAATAGAAAACGTAATTAACAATAGAACAAAACTATTTTCGATTCTTAAACAAAAAAACACATAAACCTGTTTTGGGTTTCGCTTATTAATAATCGTATCATATCTGTTATGCAATAAACCTGAGACGCCTTCGAGTCTCGCATTGACACGACATTTGATTTGACCAGCAAAGTTAACAACAACTTTTTGGTTTTTTTTTTTTGTTTTCTTTTCTGATGAGCTCAACGAATCTAATTTTCTTGTGAGCCGCCACCTTTTTGCATATGAATGAAAATTGCTGAAATTTGATGGGGCTACATTAATCAGTTTGGGAACATTTCGTTTCGTTTCGTTTCGTGCTTCTTGTTTCCCTTGGCACCGCTTATACCCTTCTTTAGGGTATTATAGCTATGCCGTGTAGTCTGTAACGCATACGAAAAGAAAATGCGAGACTCAAGCTTAAGCCTTACTGAACTCTTAACAGCTATCGTAATGGTATAGATATTCTTCCAGCTCCTAAAGCAGAGTTTTCTTTAGATTTTCAAAGCATAGTTCTGTATCTAAGGTATCTTAGTTTCGGCGTGTTTCTTCCAAGTTTCTTTGACCTCTTATGTTCTAAGCTGGTTTCTCTGGAAAGTTTGGGTTTTGGGATCTGCGTTTCAGGCAGACAATTAGGCCCAAAGTTCTTCATGTTTACGTAACATGGTAAATGCCAGCTGACAGCTGTTTCTGACCCCCCCCCCCCTGTTATACCCCTCACAGCACGCTGACTATCTTGGACAATCTCTCATGCGCATAAACGCGCGCGTTTTGCATGCGTTTTTGAACGCGCACAATCAAAATAATTAGCTGGCACTCAAATGAATTAACAAATTCACAAAAAAAAAAATACTGTGAAACAATTAAATATTTGCTTGTTTATGGACTTGGATAAGCCTGGAGTAAATAAATTGCGTTAACAAAACTGAGCCTAGGACAAACATGTCCCCCTTTTCGGGAACAGATTTATGACTTGGCACGAGGCAGTGCAGCACGCGACTCCAACCCAAAGATTTAGATAGGCTGCCACAACTAATTAAACACGCTCAGTTCTTAGGCTCATTAAACAAGCCAGTCAAAAGACATGTTTCAGTCGGGCGTCAACGACTCGCAATACTCTGTTTTTGCTTGCAGAATAATATTTCAATTATATGCTAATAGTCAAAAGCTGTATTTGAAAATAGTTGAAAAAAAATTAGATTTTTCTTTTTTTGGGCGTGGCCCGTAAGCCCTGCCCCCAATCGTTAGCGAAGACCTGCAGCAATTTATGTGCTAGCTGTGTGAGAAATATATTTTGTGAGTCTTCGCTCTAGAAGAAATTTATGTTATTTTCCCCCTCTTGCCACGCCCGCCTCTAATTTAAACAGTGTCTCTGGCGTGAATTTATGTGATTAAGTATTCCAGGTTTCGGGTCTACAGCCTCAATAGCGCCCCAAAAAAAAGAAAATGGTGCTGGGGCCCTAAGCCCGTATACAACTTTTAT